TGCGGTGCGGTGTGGTGCGATGTGGTGTGGTGCGGTGTGGTGTGGTGTGATGCGGTGCGGTGCGGTGTGGTGCGGTGCGGTGTGGTGTGATGTGGTGTGATGTGTTGTGGTGTGATGTGGTATCATGTGGTGTGGTGTGGTGTGGTGTGGTGTGATGTGTGTGTATGTGTGTGATGTTACTGTTTGTGCAACATGTGGGTGGGTGGGGGTGTGGGTAAGATGTGTGTGAGTGCATTTAAGTGTCTGTGTATGATGGACACTGTGTGTGTGAGATGTGTATAATGTATGTATGTGTATGTGATGTGTGTGGTTTAGGTGTGTATATGATGTGTGTTGTACATGTGTGGGGTATGTGATGGATGTGCGGGATGTGTTGTATACTGTGTGGGGATATGTGATGAATGTGGGGGGGTGTACATGTGTGGTGTATGTGATGGATGTGGGGGGGTGTTGTACATAGTGTATATGGTGTATGTGATGTGTGTGGGGTGTGTGGTGTGCGTATGATGTGTGGCGTGTATGTGATGTTTAGGTGTGTATGTGACACGTGGAGTATGCAGTGTGTGTGGTGTATACGAGGTTTGAGGTGTGTGGTGTTACATGTATGATGTATGGAGTATAAGGTGTGTGAACAGGAGCCAGTTATCATCTCAAAAGCCAAATGTTACCATGGCGTGAACAGTCACCCAAAGGCCACCAAGGGTTGCCTTTTCCTAGGCTGACTTTTACTTTTCCCAGGACAGGCTAATCTGCTAATGAGACATAACACATTCTTGATGAGGCTGGCCATCTTTCTCCTGAAGAGCTGGAGCTGTAGATGGCCCCAAACTTTCCGACCCCGGGCCTTTGCGTGAGCTGCAGCTCCCCACTGGCCGAGCCACCAGAGTGCCCCCATGAGAGATGTTATGCACCACAGAGTCAGAATAGACTGCAATGGGCTTATAGCTGACCCAGTGAGAGAAGTCACAGCAAAGAGATGCCAAGGCTCAGAGTGGGCCATTTGTTGTTATTTTGTTGTTGTTATGTGTTGTCGAGTCGTCTGCAACTCATAGGAACCCTATGTACAACAGCCCTAAACCCTGCTCTATCCTGTGCCAATCCCATTGCCTCTGACACACCCATCCCGATTACCCCAGTCACTGAATCAATCCACCTCCTAGAGGGCCTTCCCCTCCTGCGCTGTCCCTCCACCCTCCCAAGCATGAGGTCCCTCTCCAAGGACCAGTCCCTCTTTACAACATGTCCAAAGTATGTTAGAGCCTCAGGATCCTTGCCTCCAGGGAGCAGCCTGGTTTAACCCTCTCTAGGATGGATCTGTTTGTTTTCTTGGCAGTCCATTAGTGTAACCAAAATCCAACCGCACAGACAGTGGGGAGCAGCCTCCTGGCTCTGTATAGTTTCTAACAGTCTCTCCCTCTAAAACCCAAACACGGTTGTTTTGGCAAGTGCCCCCACGTGAGAACCCAGCTCCAGAGGTCTTTCTTGGCGGCAGTGGTAACAGAATCGGGCCTTGTCCCACGGCACTGCTGGACACTCAGCTAAGAGTTGGTTCCAAGTCGACAGCAATAAAGAAGTTAGGTGGCAAGTTTCTGCAGTCTAAAATGTACTAAATAGGTAATCATAATGCATGGATTGGGTGATTGAAATTCTGAAGTTTGAAACAAAGAAGAAAAGATATAGATGATGATGATAGATAGATGATAGGATATAGATAAATAGATAGATAGAACACATAGAGATAGAGAATAGATACAGATAGATTAGATAGATAGATCACATAGAGATAGAGAATAGATATAGATAGATGATAGATGATAGATAGATAGATAGATAGATAGATAGATAGATAGATAGATAGATGATAGATAGAAAGGAGAAAGGGAGAAGGAGAAGAGGAGGAGGAGGAGGAGGGAGAGGAGGAAGAAGAGGTGAAGGAAAAAGAAGAGGAAAAAGAGGAAGAGGAGGAAGAAGAAGTAGTAAATGGCAGCGTTTTAAACAGCCAGCCTCTGCAGACTTGATTTGTTGGGGGATCAGAAGTGGTGGTTTTCGTGCATTACGTAGTCCTTTCATCCTCACAGCAACAGGCAGGTCCCCCGTCATTTCACAGATTATAAACAGAACCTTGAATTGGTTTCCCTTTCCAGTGCACAGGGTTGACTGCAGCGAGGCCTGCCCCCTGCCCCATGGGGCCTGCTCTCCTCTGTACGCATGTGCAGCCTGACTTACGTTGTAGACCTGGCTGGATCCCTGCTGGGACACCTGTGCTTCTGGGCTCCCGCCAAACTGCAAAAGAAGAGCAATTACAGTCAGGCTGGCCCTGGACAGCAGAGCCATGCCCTGCCCCCTGGGGTGAGTGCTTCGCGGGCCCTCTCCTCCCGCCATGACAGAGTGTCCACGGTGCTGGCCCTGGACCTGCAGGGATGTGCGGGTGACTAGCGCGCTTGCACATGCACAGAAGTGCCAAGTTCGCAGCCCTTGGCCACCTTCTCTGAATGCTGAGCACAAGCCCAACTGGACCGTGGCTGCACAAGGTCCAGCCACCCGCCTTGGCCCTGGAGGGCAGGGTCAGTCCATCTTCTAGGTCCTGTTATCCAAAGTCTATGCACACTCTAGGCATGTTTTCTTTCGTTCCATCTGCCTGGGCCTCGGAGCACCAAGTTTTTAAGGATTCAGAGCTCTGGAAACAGAGCATCGAAGGCACAGTTTTTAAACCTAAAAAATGGAAATCCATAAAACCCACAGTTGAAACCTTGAAGCGATGACAGGGCGGGCACTGGAACCTTTCTAAACCTTCAGCCCACTCACCCCAGCTGCTCCAGAAACTGTGAAGTCTGCAAAAGGCCATGGCAAATCCCTGCTCCCGGCCAGCCTGCCATCACAGATCAGCCGAGAGGAAGACAGGCATGACCCAGAACTGGCCCCGGGTGATGTGGCAGGAGTGGTGCGGAAGCTGATCTCCTGGGATGTTCTGAAGTGAACACGCATCCTCACAAGACCCCACACCAGCCTCTCCTGCCCACACTGCAGGGTTCGGGGGCCCAGTCCACCCCCTATGCAGCCTGATGGCCCCCCGGCCGCCCACGGACAACCAGCTTTCCTCACTAACACAGATCAAGGCTGACCTTGCACCGGCTACGGCCGCACATTCACCCTAGGCCCCCAGGGTAGTACTCACCTTGGCTCTCAGGAACAGGGCAGTGACCACGATGCCGTAGAGGAAGAGGATCCCATCCAGCAGGTAGCAGAGTTTGGGGTCCAGCAGGCCGAAGCTCTGCGCCTCTGTTGCCAAGAAATAAGACTGGTCAGGCAGGCTAGGACAGATCTAGGCAGACTAGTGACAAATCCACTCCCCTGTGACTTACAGCCTCTGAATATCTCCTGGAGGGTCAGCTGTGAGTCGATTCTGATTTGACACACATAACAATATGGGAGTGAGGTATTACGGGGTTGGGGAAAGAGGCGCATTAAATATTTTGTTTAAAAGAAAGATCACTGTACTCGGATTGAGGTGTAGACTTTAGCCTTGACGGAATTTTCTAACACATACGCATGACGCAATTCAACCTGTAAAGCAGAGGAGGGACTGTGTGTTGGTGTGTGTCTCGCTCCACCGCCACAGAGCAGCAGTCCTAGGTCGCATTGGGAAGAGCCTGTCTCTACCGAGTCTGGGGCGCCCTCTGCTGACTGCCTGTTCATGTAGGCCGGTGCAGAAGGAGTGGAGCATCTGACTGGAGTGTGGTCTTGTTTTCCTTTGCTGTTAGGGGCCAGTGAGGTTATGAACAGCTGATAGGAACCTGCTCTATTCTGTTGCATTCTCAGGACTTCTGTCATGCTGCACTGTTACAGTCACTGTGTCAGTCTATCTGTGTGGTTTTCTTTAAACCCGCCTCACCTGCTGCCTCTGCTAAGCAGAATAAAAGTTACATTTCTTTAGCATTAACTCTTTGCTGGACACTTTTTCTCAGTGTAAAAGTTTAATAATTTTAATAATAATAGTAATAATAATAATAAATAATAATTAAAAATCTCTGCCACATCATCAGGAAACTGAGGCCCAGAGAGCTCAGCATCACCCAGGAGCTAAGAACATGAGATGCCAGCTTAGGCTTAAGCTTGCCACTGTCCCTCCTCCCCTCTCCTCCCACTTACTCTTCAGTACACGTTGCTGGTCATCCCCACACACCATGGAGCTTGTGCCCAGTGTCCCTGTCCCTGATGACCACTAATCCAGGACCCTCCCAGCCCAAAGCAGCTGATCTAACACCCTCCCACCCCCAGATTTCTACTCAGAAACTATGGATGGCCCAGTCACTCCAGAAAGGTTCACACTCCCTGTCAATGCCCGGATTTGACTCTGTCTAACCAGCGGGCCGGCTCCCACCACGTCTACCCTCGCCCCCTCCTAACATCATGATGCCTTGTCTTCATTGGATACATTAGTTCCTTGCTCGCGCGCGCGCGCGCGCACACACACACACACACACACACACACACACATTCCCGACCACTGCTAGCTCCATCCCTTCCACTAACACCCGCAGATATCAGACTTGTGTCCCACCCACCTTTGCCCACCTTGCAGTGCTGTGCGATGATGTGGGTGCAAGAGCTTATCTCCCAAACCCAAATCCACTGCCACCCAGTCAGTTCTGACTCACAGTAACCCTCTATTGGATTTTCAAGACAGCAAATCTTTAGGGAAGAGACTGCCCATCTTTTACCCTCTAAGCAGCTGATGGATTTGAACCACTGACCTTTTGGTTAGCAGCCCAACACAGTACACGGTATGCCGCAAGAACTCCTTTCCTCCATATTGTCTACAAACATGACTTGCAGAGACCACGAGGTGCCCCTCCCTCTAAAGCGTGTATATGTACACACTGCAGCTGCATCGGAGATCAGGGAAAGTGGCGGGCATTCATTCGATAGCTTGGGGTTCTCGGGCTGAACATCGGTGATGAGGAAGAAGCTGGAGGCCAGCCCCGGGCTGCCCTGCCCTCTGGCCCTGATGCAGCCCCTGAAAGTCAGTGCTGAACGAAGACTTCTTCAGCCTCTGGGGAAGCAAGGAGGAAAAGGGGGGGAGCGAACGGAAGGTCCCCCAGAAGACTGGCCAGTCCCCAGTGAAGGCCACCACCGCAGAGGCCGTTTTTCTTCCTCGGACTGGAGAGGAGGTGTCAGCTGCAATTTACGGGGGTGTTTGAGATTCAGAAAAAGGACGGGGAGAAAATGGCTCAGCCTGTCCCATAAAATGAGAAGAGAAAAATTACTGGTCAGTAAATTTAGAGCAAATCAGAGGAAATATTTCTTTGTGCTGTGCAGAGTCAGCACAGCGGGGTGCAGGGAGATGGGGTGCCTCCACAGATAAGTAATAGGGACGTGGCTTTTCTTTCTTGTAAAGAGCAGCACAGAGGTACAGCGGTACAGCGGTACAGCGATGACTAGCGTGCTCTGTTTGGCGGGGGAGGGTCTCCGCGTAGGGAGCCCTTCCCCCGACTCCTAGCTGTGCCCTGCTCGGGGGCGGGGCCCAGAAAGTTCCATCCACCTGGGGACCCTAATTCTATGATGTAGTTGATTAATCGTTTATTGGACTGTTGGCCATCAAGAACCCTAGATTGGGCGTCCTCAGTGGACAGTAGTTCCTTCCCTGCCACTTGCTGGCTGTGCTCTGAACCTTAGAGGATATGTTAATTTACCTAAAGGGTAGAGCTGTGGTGACCTACTGGCAAGAAGCTGCGCTGCAATAGCAAAGGCACGGGGTTCGAGGTTCTGCGGGAGGACGGGCAGCCTCTCTCCTCTCACCCCAAGGCCAGCCTGTGTCCCTTTTCCCCCCCACATTTTTGTTGGGAGGCAGCTTCAAGAAGATTCCGATGTGTCACAGAGTACAGCTTCCCCACTCGGAGGAGCTCTGACTTTCTGGGTTGGAGAGTGTGGCCACATTGGAGGTGGAGAGCTGCAGCACCACACAGACGCAGCCAACATTTGACAGAACAAGTGAAAAGGAGTCTCAAATTTCCATAAAAATACAGCGATACCTTCCAACAAAGGTAAAAGCACAGAGAAAAAGAAAGACACTGATGAAACTTCAGCCCTTCTCCGACTCTGTAATTTTTGTGCACATGATTTAATTTCTCTAGCCTATTTTTCCTCATCTGTAAAATGGCAACAACAGTACCTTTCCTCTTAGAGGGTCTATTATTTTATCACTAATGAGTCAGAACCGACTCATAACTCCCCCCGCCCCCCCGTGGGTTTCTGAGGCTGTCACAGGAGAAGATTGCCCATCTTTCTCCCACAGGGCCGCTGGTGGATTCGAACCAGCAGAGAGGCTTGGCTTTAGGTTAGCAGTGCAGCTCCCATCTGCACCCCCAGATCTCCCTCCACAACGCACAGACCCTCACCGCTGTGCAGCTGGAACAGATGCATAACTGAGCCTCCAGTACATTTCCAAGGCTTTCAATCACATGATTGCCCTTCTTTCTCCCAAGAAGCTGCTGGTGGATTTGAACAACCAGAGAGGATCAGCTTTGGGTTAGCAGCACAACTCCTTACTGCGTAAGCTCTCTAAATGGAGGAGCTAACTTAGTAGGGGGGTATCAGGAGTAAAAACCAAATCATTCCTATAGGGTAGAGAACTTGGGATATGACAGTCACTGGGTGGCACTGAATAGAGTTCAGCTCATTGCTACCTCGTATGTGTAGGGTAAAACTGCTCCACAGAGGGTAGAAAACAGTTAGCCAGACCTTCTTCTGAAGCACTTCTGAGAGGGTTCAAATTGCTGACCTCTTGGCTAGATACCAGAAGGAACGCCAGGCAGCCAGAGACAGACCGCAGAGTATATATCCATTATTTACTACCTAAAAAGAGGTCTAAAAATGTCAGTCTTCAAGGAAGCAATTGGTCCACAGGAGTAATAGCCCCCATGAGCTCCCATCGTCCTCTAGCCTGACACCAGATGAACTAGATGGGGCCCAGCTACCACTACCAACCACAACCAGAGACACAAGAGAAGGGCTCGGTTCAAATGGCAGAAAAATACGGAACAAAACTCATTCCATAAACAAAACCACCAAACTTACTAGACTGATAGAATCTAGAGGTATATCCAAGCCTATTGTCCTAAGACACACTTTTAAACTGTGAACTAAAGCCACTTCCACAGGTCATCTTTCAGACAAATAATAGATTAGCCTATAAAACAACAGCTTGACACACCTTAGACAGACGGGCCAGATACATGAAGGCCCATGTTCATGGCAGCATTGTTTATAATAACAATGAGACTGAAACCACCCAAGTGTCCAACAAAAGACAACTGGGAAAAGAAACTATGGTACTTTTACACAATGGATTACTATGTCACACTAAAAAAATATTCATGACACACTGCATGAAACAGATGCATCTAGAAGGCATAATGCTGTGAGTCAGTGACAACAGAACACTATTATAGATACTATTATTCTATTACAGAACACGATTCTAGAACAATAGACCACTATTATATAAAGCTAAGGAATCTCTAGGTAAGGAGGTATGGAATTGCACTGCCAACACAAAGGCAAGTGGTTCAAATCCACAAGGTGCTTCATGGGAGACAGATAGGCAATCTCCTCCAGTGCAATCTACAGCCTTTGAAAACCCACCGGAGGGTCAGCTTTGAGTCAGTTCCAACTTGATGGCACATAACAACATAAAAAGCTAAGGAAAGGTCTCCCCTGAGAAGTAATTTTCATTTAATGACCCATGCCTTCAGAAGCACCTAGACACAGACGCTTCCTTTTCCACAGTGCAGCCTTTCAAGCCCCATCCACGTGCAGCTGGTCACCATCAGACTGCAAAGCACTTTAATATGTCCTGTAAGAGTAAGTGCTGTCAAGGGAGATGGAATAGAGTCTAAGACCTGAACCTGCTGTTTAACCGGCTGTAGAACCATGGAAGAATCACACCATCTTCTCTGGATGTATGACACAGAAATGGAGTATTCTTGATACCTGTTGCTGTGTACCATCTAGTTGGAACCGACCCATGGCTGACCTTCCAGCGAATTTTCAAAGGCTGTAAATCACACAGAAGGAGATTGTTCACCTTTTTTTCCCACAGAGCAGCTGGTGGATTAAAACCTCATATCTTTGTGTTGGCAATTCCTTACCACCAAACTACCAGAAATACTTTATGAGTTTTACACACACACACACACACACACACATATGTATGTGTATATATATTAATTTATATATATATATATATATGCGGAGGGTCAAGGACTGCAGCCTTCTATATGGACTGAGGCTCAATGTCAAGAAGACAAAAATTCTCACCACTGGACCAATTGGTAGCATCAGGATGGATGGTGAAGAGACTGAGATTGCTCACAGCTTCAGTTTGCTCGGCTCCACGGTCAACACTCTTGGCACCAGTAGCCAGGAAATAAAAAAACGTATTGCGATGGGAAAGTCCGCAGTTAGGGACCTCTCTAAAGTACTCAAGAGCAATGGTGTCTCTCTGGAGACTAAGGTGCGCCTGATACAGGTCATGGTTTTTGCAATCACTTGTTATGCATCCGAGAGTTGGACAATGACTAGGGAGGATAGAAGGAGAATTGATGCCTTTGAGCTGTGGTGCTGGAGAAGAGTATTGAATGTACCGTGGACTGCCAAGAAAACAAATAGATTCATCCTGGAGAGGGTTAAACCAGGCTGCTCCTTGGAGGCAAGGATTCTGGGGCTTCGCCTGACATACTTTGGACATGTTGTAAGGAGAGACAGGTCTTTAGAGAGGGACATCATGCTGGGTAGAGTGGAGGGACAGCGCAGGAGGTGGATTGATTCAGTGACTGGGGTAATCGGGATGGGTGAGTCAGAGGCAATGAGATTGGCACAGGATAGAGCAGGGTTTAGGGCTGTTGTACATAGGGTCGCTATGAGTCGCAAACGACTCGACGGCACATAACAACAACAACAACAATTAATTTTATATAAATGTGAATTATATATGCAGAACAGATTATTCTGGAGGTTGGGCTCTATGAGGAGGAATGTGGCATCAGGATTGGAGGAAGACTCATCAACAACCTATGTTTTGCTTGCTGAAACTGATTTAGACCTGAAGTGTTTGCTGTAGAAGGTTAAGGACAGAAATCTTCAATATGGATTGAAGCTCAACATCAAGAAGACAAAGATTCTCACCATGATAGATGAAGGAGAGATTGAGGTTGTTAATTACAGTTTGCTTGGCTCTACAATCAACACTCTTGGAACCAGAAGTCAGCAAATCAAGAGGGTAAGTAACTAACTGTGAAGACCACTGGGAAAAGCTGCTGTCAGGGACCACTCCAGAGAACTGAGAAGCAATAATGTCAGTCTAGAGACTAAGGTGCACCTGATCCAGACCATGTTCTTCATAGTTACTTACTATGCATCAAAGAGCTGGACAATGACTAAAGATGACAGAAGATGAATTGATACCTTTGAGTTGTGGTGCTGAATAAGAGTCTTTAACATACCATAGACCACTAAGAAAACATATAGGTCTGTCTTGGAGAAAGGGAAACCAAGTTTCTTCCTGGAGGCTAGGATTTTGAAGCTCCTTCTCACATACTTTGGGCACGTGGCCAGGAGAGACCAGTGCTTGAAGAAGGACATCATGCTCAAAAGGGTGGAGGACAGCACCAGAGAGGAAGACTCCAGGTGAGATGGATTAATACAGTGACTGGGACAATGGGAGTAGGTGGGTCAGAGTCAGTGAGATTGGCTCGGACAGGGCAGGCTTCAGAGATGTTGTACAAAGAGTCGCTATAGGTTTCAGGTGACTCAACGGCACATAACAACAACAACAAGAACATGTGAATGATAGATAAATGTGAATTATATGTATATATCTATCTCTCTTTATCTATCTATCATCTATCTATCTATCTATCTATCTATCTATCTATCTATCTATCTAGTTGAACTAGTGACAAGAAGCTGCGCTATAATATCAAAGTCCCAAAGGCATGCGCTTGGAGACCACCAGCTGCTCCCCAGGAGAAGGATGGGCAGTCTCCTCCTGTGTGTTAACTGCCTCTGAAAACCCACCGGAGGGTCAGCTATGAGTCAGCTGTGACTCTGTGATACATAACAGCAACAACAAATATATACACAACAGATCCCTCTCTCTCTCTCTCTCTCCTATATCAGATTTTCCCAGTGCAATTCATCTTGATTTGCTGACTGCTGGTGCCAAGAGTTCTTTTATACTTTATGGAGGTTTACTCTGGCCTGGCTGGTTGGTGCTGAATGTGGGCTGGAAGCCTCTTGTTGGAGCCAATAAGAGACTGATGTGTAGGTTGGGGATTTTTGAAATTCATTTTAGTTTTAGTTGTGTTTTAAATAAACATTGTCTTATGTGTTATGACGCTGTACTCTTATGTCACTATACTGAGGTAACTTGGGACTGCTGTGATACTGAATTGTTTGCTAGTGGTGCTTCAAATTCCATAATTGTTATACGTGGTTGACAATGTTTGGTGGAGCTGACAGATTAAGACAGGCTTGGAAGCAGGAGGTATCCACTTCCTAAATATACCTGTCAAAACTCTATGAACTTTGAGAAAAATTATAGTTATAGAAGAGGTTTAAAGTCTTTTGTTTTTAGGGTCACTATTTAAAGACATGTAGCAACAACATATATCGCCAGGCCCTTGTCTCCATTTTGGAGTTGGGTGAAGTGGCTGGACTCTGTAAGATGGTGTTCTTGTTTTAGTTGAGTATCTGTGTGAATTGTGTGGGTGTTTTTTATTTAAGCTACTTGTTTAGAGGCAACAAAACCTCTTGGAGGGCCCTTATATTTAAGAGTTGGGCCTATTTTTTTTATTATTTTATTATTTTTTGTGTGTGTGTACCGTCAAATCAGATCTGACTGGTACAGGAGGAGATTGTCCCTCCTTTCCCGGCAGAGCATCTGATGGATTTGAACCATGGGCCTCTGGGATTGCAGTGCAGCTTCTTGACACTAGGCCACCAGAACTCCCCTAAATTGGGCCTATTTTAATCCCTTGTTAATATATTTTAGAGGAACATTCTTCTAAGTCATACAGCACTCTGGTCAATTTGCTGTGCTGAGATAATCTGGGTTTGCTGTGACAATGACTCTTATGTCATTGGGGTCTCAAATGCCATAATGGAACAACTGTGCCATATTGTTGTTGCTAAGTGCTGTCGAGTCGCAGGCGACTCATAGCCACCCTATGAAGGAGAGCCCTTGACGCTTGGGTGCCTCTCATCCTCTCTCCAGGTTCATAGGGTTTTCGGAGGCAAGTTATTATGGAAGTGAATACCACTCCTCATTCCAAGCTTGTTTTAATTGGGGAGCTCCACCCCACTCTTTGTCCGCATTGGGTAACCAGCCATTAACGCATTTGACACTTCAGTGTCACAGTAGCAGTACAATAGAACTAGAAAAAAAAATTTAAAAAAAAATAGGTGTGCCAAATACCATAATAGCTCCCCATTGCAGGCAGTGTTTGGTGGAGTTCCCAGACCGATTCAGGTTTCGAAGCAGAAGTGGCATCCACTTCGTAAACCACATGTCTCTGGAAACTATGAACTTGGAGAAACAATGATAGTTATAGAAAGACTTTAGGATTTGGGACCCTTGTATTTCAAAGTCAGTTAGGCCTGAGGGTCTAGTGTTATTTTAATTTGGAGAAACATCCTTCTAAGTTGTACAGCACTCCTCTGTCAGTTTGCTGCACTGAGGTAATCTGGGTTTGCTGTGATGCTGAACCTTGTGCCACTGGGGGGTCAAATGCCATAATGGCTGCCCATGGTGAACAGTGTTTGGTGGATCTTCCAATTTAAGACAGGGTTGGAAGCAGGAGTGGCATCCATTTCCTAAACCACATGCCTCTGGAAACTCCATGAACTAGGAGAAATGATGATAGTTATAGAAAGGCTTCAGGCCTTTTGTTTATAGGGTTAATATGAGCCATGCTCGAGTAAATGGCAATCAATAACCATATATATATACACAGAGAGAGAGAGAGAGGGAGAGAGAAGAATTGCATTGATATTAAGAACAAAAGCCTGGGATTCAGGTGGGAGCAGCAGTTTCTAAGGCCCATGACCTTCCTCCCTTTGTACCCCTAATCTTGGGCTGAGCCCCACCCCCAGCCCCAGCTTCCACTAGTAATGACAGTTCAGGCTAAGTGTTGAGAAAACAGGAAGTCACATGTTCTCAGGAAGGCAGCAACAGCTTTGGGTGCTTGTGCTGGGCAGAATGTCAGGGTGATGCCCAGCCTGCTGGTCACAGCACTACGGGCACTCAGACCTCCTCCTCTGTACTCATGTTTGTATGTGGGTGGGTGTTTCTCTCTTTCATTGAGCGAATAATTTGCACCGCGGCAGAGAAAATCTAGGCCAGACACACAAAACAACAATCACAATCACTAGTTTAAGATTTGTTCAGTGCCAGGACCCACATGTGAATTTTCTCACTGCATCCTGATAATGACTCTTGTAGATTCTTTGAACTAAAGAGCCTGTTGTTGTCAAATTGATTTCGATTCATGGGACCTCATATGTGTCAGGGTGGACTGGGCCCCACAGCATTTTTCAGTGGTTAATTTTAGGACAGTGACTTGCCAGGCATTTCTTCTGAGGCATCTGCAGATCGAGTTGTACCTCCAAACTTCATTCAGCAGACAAGGCCCTTCATTGTTTGTGCTAGCCTGGGACATGGTGGCTTAGAATTGACTCTATGGCAACATTTTTTTAAAAAAACATTGAGTTTCCAACTACAAAAACTGAGACTTAGAGGTTTAGAGTCCACATTTTTATTCACTATCATGTGTTGACCTTGGGCAACTTACCAGTTGTCAAGGCTGGGGAGATAGGTCCCCATCGGGCTTGGGTCTTTGCTTCTCCAAGGATCGAACTGTAATTAGCAGGTGACATTCTGATTCTACACTTGTTTCCTTAAGGGGATTATTGTTGTTGTTAGGTGCCATCGTGTCGTAGATGATTCATAGCGACCCTATGAACAAACGACCTGAGCACTGCTCATAGAGTTTCCAGAGGCAAGCCATTTCGGAAGTGGATGTCTCTCCTTCTGTGACAGGGCCTAAGATTGGGTGATGCTGTGGGGACATGGCCTGTTCTGGAGAAACCTCCATTCTCTGCCAGCATTCACCCCAGTATAGAGTTCCTCATGTCTTCCCAAAAGTGAACCTCCTTCTACTGAGAGGCTGCAAATTCATCCATGCTTCAGCTCATCCATCCATCACTCATTAACACATATTAACTCCTAAGGAGAACGACCATGGCCCTTAAACTCTCTTCAGGACTGGAACTGAACTTGTCCCCATGGCCCAATGTGCAGTCAAACAATAAACCAGCCTATAAAGGGAACAGTATTATCACATTCATATACATTCTCTGGAACAGCCAACTATGGAGACCCAAAGGGCATTTGCCCGGAGATAAGGCTCAGAGGCAGGAAAGGATAGGGAAGATGCACGAGCAGGAAAAGTAAACACAGGGAGGAAGCCGGAAGAGTGCTGCTACACTGCGGAGATTGCCATCAGGGTCACAAAGCAAAGTGTGTAGGAAGTGCTGAGTGGAAAAGCAATTTGCTCTATAAAATTTCACTTCAATCACAATAAAAAATGAAACACACACATGCGTGCACACCCCATATACACATTTGGCCACCAAGCCTTGCTTTCCTTCTCCAAAAACAGCCACATAAATAACTCTTAACTTCAGGGTTATAGTAAGGAGGAGACATTCCCCACACAAGCCTGGCACACAGTAGGCCTCAAAGCACAGTGGCGGCAACGGTAATTAAGTGTTGGTGCTGCACAAGGCAATTTCACAGCCAAGCAAAGAGGTGTCTTGACAAAACATTAAAACTGGAGGACTTAAAACAACAGAATACATTTTCTCACTGTCCTGGACGTCAGAAGTCTGAAATCAAGCTGTCAGCAAAGCCGTGCTCCCTCAGAAGGATCTAGGGGAAGTCCTCCTTTGCCTCTTCTGAGCTTCTGGCATTTTCTGGTAATTCCTGATTTATAGATGCATACTTTCACTCAGCCTGCTTTCACACAGCTCTCTCTTCATACACTCTGTTTCTCACAGTCATCTCCCCTTGTATCAGTGTCTCTTCTCCTTTATAATGACACATCTCTAATGGGATCAGGACTCCTCTTACATGGATATGATCAAATGATGGGAAATCTCTTCTCAGGCAATTTATAACCACTGAGGGTGAGCTATGAGTCAGTTCTGACTCCAAAGCAATGAGTGACGTTCAAGTTAACTGACAGCATCTTCAAGGAACCTGTTTCCAAGCAAGATCACATTCAGAGATACAAAGGGCTAGGACTTCAACATCTCTTTCTGGGGGATACAATTCAACCCATAAAAGGAGTGAACAGATCTTTATAAAAGAGGGATGCACAGGACGCTGAAAAAAAACACAGATACAGGCCTCTCATGGGGAAACAAGGCCTATCATGTCATGCGACAGCACTCTGTAACGCGATGCAAACTCGGATTCCTGCTGTCCAGTCAGTTCTGATTCATGGTGACTCTGTAGGAATTCGAGGGCTATAAATGAAACAGCAGGAGACTGCCCATCTTTCTCCTGAGGAATCACGGGTGGACTGGGACCTCTGGAGACTCACAGCTTGGGCTTAGCAGCACAGCTCGCTGTGGTACCCCAGCAACCCCCAGTGCAGTGACCGTCAAATGACCTCCTTGATGAACAACTGGCAGGTTTCAGTTCCCTTCACCTATCTGCCTATCAGCTCCAAAAAGCCAGTACACAAGTTGCTCATTTAACTAGTAAATGCTTGTGTGCTAGCCATAGATAGTATCAGCATTATAGATAACAGGTATAGATAGAGATGCTATAAAGTCATATAACAAGAGATGCAGATGCTATAGATAGAGGTGCTACAGATGCAGATGACAGAGAAACAGATGCTGTAGATATAGGTGATATAGATGACTTAGGCACACAGCTGCCTCCAGGGACAGAGGCTGTAACAGTGGTTGTATAAAACGCCTGCACCAAATATTTTCAGTTTGCACTATTCTTACTATACTTGATATCGTTTGATCCTAATAATGGCTGAGTGAAGCACGTTAGCAGACCTTAATAGCTCCACTTTGCAGATAAAGAGACGGGAGGCCAGAAAGGTGGAGTAATACTTCCTACCTCAGGTCATGCAGCACATAACCTGTCAGAAGCCAGGTCTTGCCAGACTCTTCTTCTTCCAAACATAGTACTTCCTCTCACATCATGTTCTTGAACCATTATTGTAGAAATAGAAAAATAACTAGTAAAATGTGCATAAAGATCCATGGGGTGGGGGAAGCAGAGATGTAAGGATAGGCAGGGGGAAATCACAAGGTCACACAATTTGGTGGGTAGAGGGAGGGGTAGGTAAAAGAAATAGAAAAGATCCAAAGGGGATCTGGTAATGGTTGGTATAGCTCAATGATGACTAATTTTAGAAAATATTATGAATAGGAATGATTGTATGAAACACAATGTGAATGTAGGATCCTATGAAGCACGATGTACATGAATTTTATTAGCAAACCAATATAAAATGAAAATTAAAGAATAACAACACCCATCAAGAAATGAATGGTTAGAGAAGCTGTGGCATATTCACATAATGGAATTTACGCCGCACTTGAAAACAAGGAACTCATAAAATATTATACAGAATGAGTGACCCCAGAGGACATTATGTTGAGTGAAATATTTCAGTCGCAAAAGGACAAATACTGAATAATACTGCTATTATAAAACAGGATTGACATGGGGGTTAAGGAGAAACTAAGAAAAGAGGCGATAAATAATGAACACTGCACTGAAATAGATGAGAGAAAGAACTGTCTAAAAGAAATATATGATTAGGTATTATTTGCATGACAATAGTCCAGAATAAGAGGTGCACAACAAAGTGGTCTGAGGAGCGGGGGGAGGAAATTATGCAACAATGAAAGAATCTTTTTAAAGAGAAAAGCCGACTGGGAGGGGTAGGGGGGAAATGTGCAACAGTGAATGAAGGAAAATCCAAGTTTTTTGTAAACTTTCAATTAAATATAAATTTTGAAAAACCAAGAAAGAAATAAAAAACAACAATAACAAAATAGATTAGGTTCTTGTACACTAGACACCATTTAAAAGAAAACCTCACTAGATGAAATCTGTCAAAATTCTAGGCAGAATTTTGCTCTCTCTCAAAATTCCAAATGCACACTCTCAGACTCTGCAAATCCTGGGTTTGAAATTTATTCTCTGGATAAACCTGAACAAGTAAGAGGAGACATATGTACAGGATATTTATTTTATCATTATCTGCAGAAGCAAAACCCCTAAAAACAGCATAAACATTTACAAACAAAAACAAAACAAAACAAAAACTAGAGCAATATTGTATATACCATTAGAGAAAAGTTTCCAAGATAATAAGGTAAATAAAGCAAGCTGTAGACTGATACATCAAATACTTGTTTGTGTATTTAAGAATATATATATTTTATAGGCCTGCATATACAGACATAAAAATATAGAACAACTACCACGCAAAAAACTCTTCAGTTACCTCTGTGGAAGAAAGAAGTCAGGAAAATTTTATTTACTTTTCACTTGGCAACTTTTTGTATTATTTGAAACTCTGACTTTAAAAACCTATTACTTTTATAATATCAAACAGTCAAAAGAAAATAAAGGAGGTGGATTGTGAAATCAAAGGAAGCTTGTTTGGCAGAATTCTCAGCAAAGCAGAAAGCGGAGGGGCCACGACTCTCCGTTTAGCAAACACCTTGAACTTGGTTAGTGCACTCCATTTCTGGCAATGACTTGCCAGTGTTTGGCAATTCCTCGGATATACAGGTTATTTCCATGGCAACTGTACTTTGGAAACGGAATTAAATTGACAGGGGGGGGGGAACAATTACTGCTACAAGCAAAACGTTCCTCATGATTGTTAGTCCCTTTTCCCAAAGCCACAGAAAAGAGATGTTTTCACCAAGTCTTCTTGTTCCACCTCCAGCTTGAGCCCCTGTCGCCTGTCAGGTGAAGTGAGATCTAGACCCTTTAGTCAACCAGTCCAACACTAGGGTGAAGACTCTCCCAAAACCATAGAGGTTTCTGGTCACGGAGTCTGAGTCGGCTTGAGAACTCAAGCGAGGCTCTGAGGCCAAAGGGAGTGAGAACCTGCAGCCTTAGCGTCTCCAGGGGAGGGAGACCTGTCTGACTGCCCTGAGCGGCTGAGAGGTACCAATGAGGGCTCCCCATACCCACAGTGGACACCTGTGGACCTCCCTGCCTGCCATGGTACCCATAGCAGGGGTTCACCAAGTACGGACAGTGCCTCTCCGGCCTCTGTAACCCCACTATAGGCTCCTCACCCAGCAGGATCCCGGACTAGGCAAGGGGGCCACATATAGCGTAGCTTTCCACTGCATCAAGCTCCCCCCCGAGGGTGGGAGAGGAAATGCTATTTATATTTGAAAACATACACAGATAGAAGATAGAGGCAACAGTTGATCGGAATTTTAGAGACAAGCCTGAGCCTCCCAAGGCCAACACCTGTTCTCGCAGGCGAATATAAACCAGCCTACAACTGCCCCTCCAGCGGATATTCAGAGGCAATAAATGGCATAAGAAGAGATTACTCATCTTTTTCCCGCTAGGCAGTTGGTGGATTCGAACCATGGTGCCTTTGAGATTACAGCGCAGATTCTTAACCACTAGGCCCCCAGATACTTGGTCCTTGGTGTTAAGGCTGCACAATGGAAAGCGGACAAGCTGGAGCTGGAGCTGCAGGGGTCCCAGGGATCCCGCCTCCACCCCCGCCCGCCGTGGGCTCAGGCACTGGT